ATTGGTTTATCTATTTCTATATTGCATTTTTCAATGAAGAAAAATGATCATTATTCAATAAAGGAAAAATGTTTTATATGTCCGCGGATGCATAGTTACATTTGTGTGCCCTTTCCCCAAGGCACCACACGTCTATGGGTCGTGGTGGTCCCTCTAAAATAAATAAAAACCATGTGTTTAATTTTTTTTAAAAATTATAATTTTAATTATTTTAATTGTTTTATTTTATTAATGATTTCTATGTTACAAGTTGCAATTGGTATTTTATGTGATCGCTGCATACCGATGAAGTTAAAAGGTAAGTTCTCTAGGACAACTGTGAGAAACCAACTTGTTGCCATGTTGTGGTTTTCATTTCCATCATTAACACCACTCCACTAATACTTTCAAAAAATTAACTCCTAATCTACTTGAAAAACGGGTAGGGGCATGTCTCTCCCACTGAATTACCAAAAAAAAAAAAAAAACTGTGAGACCAGTTTTGCTTTATGGGGAGAAATATTGGGTGGACAAATATATTATACCTATAAAATGAGTGTAGTGGAGATGAGAATGTTGAAATGGATGAGTGATAAGACAATCAGGGATAGAATCCGAAATGAATTCGTTCCAAAAAGTTTAAATGTGACAGCAATAGGCAATAAGATGAGAGATGATAGACTTAGGTGGGCTGGCCATGCGTGTCGTCAACCCAATACAACACTTGTTAGGAAGTGTGAGTTAATTCAAGTTGAAGGATTGAAAAGGCTAAAACATAGGTAAAAAAAAAACGTGGTTGGAAGTAGTCCGAAAAGATATGAGAACTTATGGCTTCATTGAGAGTATGGTCTTAAATAGAACAAAATCACGTATAAAGATTCATGTAGCCGACCTCAATTAATTAAAAAAAAACTAGGATGATGATGATCTCTATGTTATAAATTATATATACCTCTATGCGTATACTTATTATAAGAACCATATCCTTCCATAAATGTCTCATGTACAGCATTTAAGAGTGGTGATGCATATTCATGAAACAAAAATTTAGTAATTTAAAGACGATGCATATAATATGCCATTTATGGATTATTTCAGAGTAGGGCATAAACTGTATTAAAACATAATGCCTAGGTGTCATTTTCTAGTTGTAACATAGTCAAGTGTGCCACCATTAATCTCCAACGTCCAGCCGATATAGAAATCAAACTATAACGTGAACCGTTTCATCATTGAAATGAACCAAGGGACCACTTTCAATAGGAGAGTTCGTTAGAGACCTTTTAAGGAGGTGTTAAAGAAAAGGAAAAGTATTTGGTGAGTCAGCTAGATGTGCATTCCCCATTAAAATTTATCTTAAAAATAGATTTTGGATCATAAATTTTGGGATTTGTTAATATCAACTATTCTAGAGAGTACGAACATGAAATTTTCCTTTTCATAAAAATAAAATTCATATGCTTTGAATATATTTTCTACCATCTATTTTCATGTATGGTGAAAATATAGTAAAAAAAATCGAATCGGAACAATTAATTGGACTTGAAGATAAAAGCGGTTATCATTTATGAATGGAGTAGGACGAGAGAGATATACAACTAGTTGTCTATCTTGGAAATAGAAGCATTCTTGGACCGGGGGGATTCTAGGAAGCCACATATTTATTTATGATTTGTGAGAGAGAGAAAAAAGAGCTAAGCATTGGAAAAAGGAATAAGGGAAATCTTTGTCATTTTTAGATGGCAAAAGGAGGGAGTATGGTGAAGGAGATCATTATCATTTGAGCCTCGTTTTCAGCTATTTGGAGTCACCAAGTGTGGTGAAGTAGATATGGAGCTATATATTCAGCTATTTGGAGTCACCAAGTGTGGTGAAGGATATTGGGGTACAATATTGTTTTGAGGATGCAGTTTCTAAAAGCTCCAAGTTTTATGAACGCAAAGTAGAGCCTCACTTCAATCTTCATGCAAAAAACATTTTTGATCATCAAAAATCTTCATGATGGCTCTAAAATTAATTTTCAACATCGAATATGAAATTCGAAGTTAAAAAAAATATAGATCTTAGGGATATGTGAACGATTATTTTTAGGGTAAATTGGATGGTCTAGATAATATGCGACAACATACACTATTTTTAGGCACTTGAAATCCTAATATCTTAATGTGAAGGTTTTCCGATTTCGATGACTTTCGAGGCAAGGCTTTACTAATGTTAATAGGCTGCAACCCTATCAAAACGCTATCCTTTTCTTTAAATTATGGAAAGAATTTATACAAGTGTGAAGCTCTAAACAATCAAATTAGGGCGCCTCTCAAAAATTTCAGTAGAAGAGATTGTTTTGATGCCAAATACTCTCAAATTGATCATCTCGACTTCAAGATGTATGTACATGAGAAAAAAATGGATTTCAAGTTTTGTAAATAGTGCATCTTATAAAGCATTTTTTTTACCGTCAATTTTCAAATTTTCAAGTTTGCATAGATCTGCTCGATCAACATTTTTTTTAAGGCTTTAAATTTTATAATTAGAGATAGAAAATATATTTTAAGTCTAACACAAAGATTTTTATTATTGAAACCACATTTTTCGATACTATTTGAAGGTGCACTTTAATTGTTTGTTTAAAGACTCGACCCTCAACTTTACACAAACCGCACCCTTGAATTATATATTGTTTCAAAATAATTTAGAAGTTAAATTCGGCCAAAAAAGAGAGTTAAAAAGGGCATTTTTAACTAATTTTAATGAGAGGGACTTTAGTCACCGGACAAATTGGAATGATACTGCTAAAAAAACATAGAGAAATCTCCTACCACTGCATTTATTGAATAAGAGATGCTTGAGGCACACTTTGTACTTCTCATAATCTTTGTTCACTTTGCACTTCGGCGCCTGAGTGAGCCTTAGGCTGCTATTTAGGAGTCCGACCTAGGTTAATGCCCTCTCATGATCTAATAATATTCAATACTCTTGTAAAAAGAAAAATTGCCCGCTCTAGGGCTTACTGTGCTATGTGCTATAGATGGCAACAGTCATGGGTTCACCGTGCTTATTGACCGTGTATAGGGGCAAGACAGCTTTTGGCTGCCATTGTGGAAGTGATGGATAAAAATAAGGAAAAAGTTTACATAGAGCCGAGGCTCTAAACAATCAAATTAAAGTCTACCTAAAAATTTCACTAGAAGACTTTTTGATGCTCAAATATCCCTAAATTCATCATCTTGACATCAAGATGCATGGATATGAGAAAAAAATGGATTTCAAGTTTTGAAAATAGCATATTTTATAACGCATTGTTGAACTGTCAAGTTTCAAGATTTTCAAGTTTTCATAAATGTGTTGATCTACACTATCTTTGAAGCTTTAAAATTTATAAATAAAGATGAAAATATCTTTTAAGGCTATCACAAAAATGTGTTGATCTACACTATTTGAAAGTAGACTCTAATTTGATTGTTTAGAGCACAGGCTCCGTACAAACCGCACCCTAAAAATAAACAAGTTTTAGCTTTGGCGACACCAGTCGTTCGTAGCATGACAATTATAACTTGTGTAATTGTTGACAACCTAAAACTTGTGAATGATTATGATTGTTAATAGAATTTGACTTTTTAACAGTGAGAACTGAGAAGACGCTCCACATTGAACGGTTAAATGTTCCAAAAGTTATGTATGTTTACTAGGCTTGGGTGTCAACCTTGACCCGGATGCAACTCGGTTGAGTCCTAATTGGATTTAGGCTTGGACCCGCCTATTGGTCCAGGTCATTTGGCTGTGAGCCTGACTTACTGGGTTCAATATTTGAGTTCGAGACCATGACTGATGTGGGGTTCATGGGTCGATGTGATGCAATTGCCAACCCTATTGAAAAATGCTTTTAGATTCGGCTACGGCTACATTTGTTAGTAGCCATTAGATGTCAAACTACATAGAAGGATGCGTCAAAAGTTTGAAATTTGATTTTTTGGAACTTTGAGTGTAGTCAATGATACATTCACCACTACCAAAAAATGATTGCAGTTTGTATAAGGTTGTAATTTTATTTCCAAAAATAAAGTTACTGATAGTTTACAACACCTATTTTATTTGGACAACTATAATTTGGGAAAAGTGTATATATAGCTTAGGCTCTAAAAAATCAAATTATAGCCTACTTCAAATTTTATTTTTATAGAAGAGGTTGTTTCGATGTCCCAATATGTTCAAATTGATTATCTTGATATTAAGATGCATGGCCTTGATAAAAAAAAAAGATTTCAAGTATCGAAAATGGTGCATCTTGTAACGTATTTTTTGATCGTCAATTTTTAGGTTATTTTATATTATTTTTGAAGCTTTAAATTTTATAATTAAATATAAAAATATATTTTAAAGCTAATCAAAGGTTTCAGTATGAAAACTACATTTTTTTTATACTATTTGAAGGTGGGCTCTAATTTGATTGTTTAGTGCCTCAACTCTATACAAAACTGCACCTGATAGATTTTGATACATCTTTTAAAACAACTTTAATACATGACACAATTTTAAGATAATATTAAATTTACACCTTCGTCCTCAAATAACTAGAATTTTGAAATATTTTTCTGTACTTTAGCTGTTTTTTTTTTTTTTTCGTAACTTGAAGAAATAATTACAAAATTCTATAAACCGACGGAGATAATAATGAGAGTGAGAAAACATCTTACGAGGGTGAAAAAAAGTGAGTCCTTGATGCCCATGAGATTCTTTCTGCCTGACATTAAGTAAAAGTTTAGGGTATTTACAGTCCAACGATGAGGAAGCGGGAAGGGCTTTTGATGACATTTCACAAATATTCAGGTATCTTTCCGTCATTCGCCACTCCACCACGAAGATCTAACGAATATGCCACGTGTAAATGATACGCGACAAAGACTGCTAACTAGCTGGCTAACTATAGTTAGTTCACTGACTCGTGTCACTAACCAGGAGAGAGAAAACAAATTAAGCCTATAAAATACCCTTTTGCTCGCCTTTCCTCGATCCCATCATATCGAGCCATCCTTTTGCAGGCGATATTAGGAACCCTAATTCTAACCCTAAAAGCGGGGATCGGTTTCTTGTTTTTCTGGTAATTTTCAGAAATTTTTGCAGTTAATGGTGCACGAAAAATCTGTGATTTCTTGATCTTCAGTTGAGTGTTTGGAGAAGTTATCGTGGATAAATGGTCAGTTACTCTGCATCTTTTTTCCGCGACTGTTGCACCAAATGTAGGAGCTCCCTGTTATCAATTCTGAATTCTGTAGTGATTTCAGTAGAAATTCTTCATGATTTTGATAATTAAAATGTGCAATACTTGATCTTCGCTTCTCTTTCTTTGGAGTAATTATTTGTCAAATCAGAAAGCCCATTCATTGAGCGGTAATGTACGTGATCCAGGAAAATTTGATGAATATGGAATGTTCTCTGTCATCTTTTTTTGGAAGTTAGCTTTTTTGTTGGGTGGTGGGGAATTGGATTATTGACTGAGTATTTGCAAGGGGAGATTTGAAACCCTCACTCGTGGTATAGTTTTTGGATAAAGCAAAATATCTGTTTAGGTTTCCTTTTTCCATTATTCGTGGATGAAATGTCTTGTTCTTTAATGGTAGCTTCTGAATAAAGTCCATTAAAAATCTGTTCAGGCATGCGTCACTGAGTAACCGAACTCTGAATGCAGAGCTCATTTTTTGCCTTCACCCGAGCTTTAAAATGTTGAATTGGTGATTTCTGATCCAATTTAATGGACGATGAGTACTCTATACACCAAATGCTAGTTCTTATGATTCCTTCTTTTGTTTTTTTTAATGTACTTGGCACTTTTTATCTTTCTGTATTTTTTGGAATAATTTTTAAAAAAGCTTCTGTAAGTTTGTATTTTTCTGGAAATATTTATGGGGAATAAGTAAATTTATACATTTATGGCGGATTAGGATTCATATAGCTGACTCCAATTAGTTGGGTTAAGGCTTTGACGATGATAATGATGCAACAGTTTAAGGATCCTTATACTTACTATGAATTTCGTAAAATATAGTTTTCTTATTCTGGTAAGTCTATCGTAATTTTCTATTTTTCTCACGTGTGAGAAATATTTGTTATGTGTATCTGCTTCACATGGTTTTCCTGTAATTCTGTCTTTTTGTTCGTTTTGTGCATTTTGGGGTATTTTTCTATAGGTAGGCCATTTGTTTAGTACAATGATTGTCCTATCAAATAGAAATATTACACTAACATTCGGTATTTTGTTTAGAAGAAATTTTTTGCATGTGCTTTTTATGGAACTTTTACAGAGGCTTAGTTATCATTACGCCATGTGACAGTGTTTCTACTCTCCAGAAAATCCCATGAATTTTGAGTTTATTTTGAAGTTTATCAGATTTTTTTTTCCTTTTTTTTTTTTAATTAAATGATGTAGCCAACACTGGAATATTCATTCAGGTATATGTTTTGCTAACTTCCTAGAAATACTTATGTGATCTGTATGCATATTTTGTTGCGAAATATACAAACAAATTGCCTAGGTTTGATCAATTTATCCATGCAACATGAATGTCTCTTCTTAAATATCTATGTAATTTTTTTACCTGTTAAGAATTATATGTGGGTTTACTTTAATTGGGGTTAATTTGTCATCAAATGGCTGAAAGATTTGAACCGTTGACTGACCTCAATATAATCCAAGTGTCACTCTATCCTCCAAAAGTCACTATATATGGGATTTGTTTATTTATACAGAATCTGATGATCCTTACAAGCAAGTTCAATATAACTTTGTTAAGTTGGTTTTATTTATGTGAGATCCTGTCTTTGTTATCCATATTCTATCAAAACTAGTTTGGATCAATATAAAGTTTGTTGGTTTTTACAAAAAACATTGCAGGATCTATATGCTTTTGAAATTAATATTTACTTAGTTAATGTTGAATTTCTTTTAATTTATTGGGTATGAATAATGGTTGTCTTTCTTATAAGCAAATTTGGATACTTTATGTGCTTAATGTGTATGATGATGCAGTTTGAGATGCACACTATTTTAGAGTTCTTAAATATACCAAAGTTTCAAAACTGTTTCATAAATGAACAAGATTCTGATTTCTGCACCACAACACATAATTTCAGTAGCCTCCTGAAAATTGTTGGTAACATTGGGTTTTATAGGTGATAAATGAAGTTTTTTTTCGTAGTTCTACATTTCTGAATTTGCAGTATTTGGATATTATTGTACAATCAAGAGCTGAAATAGTTCCGTTTATTGCAGATTTGATAAGGACATAAAAGGTATATACAAACACTGACGGGGTATGGGGGATGAAAAAAGGTACTTGATAGGGTATGCTCTTGCCCCAAAGAAGCAGCAGAGTTTTATACGACTTTCCTTGATCAACCTTGCAAAAGAAAAGGGTATCGATTTAGTCCCTATAGATACCAGTAGGCCATTAGTGGAACAGGGTCCTTTTGCTTGCATCCTTCACAAATTATCTGGCACAGAGTGGGAAAACCAATTACAGGATTGCACATCAAAATACCCAAATGTTTGCATAATCGATTCTCCCAAAGCAGTTGAGCGTCTGAACAACCGCATTTCTATGCTTCAGGTTGTTTCTGAACTGAAAATTTCGCAGGGAATGGAGACCTTTGGCACCCCTAACCAAATTGTTGTGAATAACCCCAAGGCTTTCACTGATTCTGAAACTTTACTTGGGTTGAAGTTCCCTGTTATTGCAAAACCATTGGTAGCAGATGGTAGTGCTAAATCCCATAAAATGTCGCTTGTTTTTAACCCTAATGGTTTACTCAAGCTAAAGCCGCCATTGGTTCTTCAAGAGTTTGTTAACCATGGTGGCGTTATCTTTAAGATCTATGTTGTGGGAGATTATGTGAAGTGTGTAAAGAGGAAATCATTGCCTGATGTATCTGATGAGAAACTGCATGGTTCTGAGGGTTTATTGGCATTCTCTCAAATCTCAAACATGTCCCAAGATTGCGAGGAGAATTATGATGAGATCATGCATTTGGGAGATGCAGTGATGCCACCTCTGAGTTTCATTGAGGAGATTGCCAGGGCCATGCGTCGTGCAATGGGTTTGAATCTCTTCAATTTTGATGTGATCAGAGATGTTAAGTTGGGGAACCATTATCTTGTGATTGATATAAACTACTTTCCTGGGTATGCTAAGATGCCTTGCTATGAGGCTGTCTTGACTGATTTCTTCTTGGAAGTCTGCCATCAAAGGTTGAATGCAGTGCCTTCTTCAGCTACAGAAGATAAAGGTTCAGACAGCTATGACAGTTTGCCTGGGTTGAATGGGGAAAAACTACAGAAATGCAGAGGTGAGTCTTTATCTGATGCAGATAGCTCTGGTGGGGAAGATGTGAATGTTTCGAAACCAAGGCAGGATAATAAAAGAATACAGTTCAATTTGGAAGAATCTCATGTTGTACAATGGACCTGATCGTTTGTGATTGACTTGCTGCTCATTGAGTTGTTGTAAGTTTAGATTTAACAAATGGAATGCTTCCATGGAAATATTCACTGACTTTATGTGGTAGCTCCCAAGAAGTTTGGGCACTCCTCATGGTTGACAAGGTGGATGGATCCCACTAAATTTGGTTTCTTTTGATTTGCTTTGGCCAGTCGCATTGAAAAATGGTCAAGGCCTTGGCTTTCTCTGCCTTGTATGACATCTTTTGATGCTTCTCCTAAATCTTGTAAATTCTCATTATTATTCCAGATCTTTTCATGTATACATAACATTTGGAAAGTTAAGTGTCCATTTTTGTTTGTCCAACACTACTAATTTGCCATGCTTTTGAGGTGATTTGATAAAATTACCTTGGTTTTGTTTCATGTAAAAGATTTCTCTGTTGCCACCTTGGACAACCTTTGTTATGCCTTAATGTTTGTCAAAGATAGTTGACTTCTATGCTATTTCTTTTCTTCACGCAACCGCAGAGCTGCTGGGTACCCTATCTTTAGAATTAAGATTGAACTTCAAGTTCTTCTTCTTAATCTTAGAACTGTGATTGAAGGAAATCACCATTTCAGTGGTATAAGAGGATACTCTTATGTATCTTGTATGCTTTTCCTTCTGTATTGAATTTCTTCTTTCTTAATGTTGATTCTAGCTGTCAATTGTAACACACGCTGTGATCAAATTTCTGAAAGAGTTAGTCTTTGCCTTAGATGATGTTCAGTCTTGTAATATGAGACTAGGACTTTTATTTTTCTGCTTTTGGCTGTTGCATTTTATTTATTAAGGTCAGTGTTCAGGTATCAGAAAAACTCACGTAAGTCAACTTGGACTCGCGTGAAACAGGTACCTATGATTACCCTGTAAAATACTTGGTTGAGTACTGTAAAACTCATTTGATTACTGTAAAACTTAGGCTGACTCGCTGGAATCTCGGTTTAGTAAATACTCGCCCAAGTATTGTATCGCTCCCATGTTTTCCTTTATTTTTTGACTGGAGCCCAAAAACCTAGCCATTTGAGTGCAAATTCATTCCTTTAGATTTAGCCTTGATCTATCTATTGGATGCCTTAGTTTTGAAGGAAAACAACCCTGAATTCAATGGTTTTTGAGATGGAAAAAATGAGCCAAGCTTTTACCTGATTTTTTAAAAATGCAATTTCTTTCAATCGGTCTTACTGAGGATGTGGCGAGAAGAATGGAGGAACAGTTTTCTTGTAGCCGACCCCAATTAATTGGGATTAGGCTTGGATGATGATGATGATGAATTTCTTTGCAATCAATGGCCAATCTTTGATGAAATCCATAAGCCTATTTTTGTGATCTTAATCCAATCATAGGCTCGATTTTCACCAAAAAAAAAAGGGAATCAGCTTTGCATTTGTAGGATGTAAATTTAAGATTTACGAATACATTAAGTTTTCAAGAGCTCGGATCTCCTAGATCTGAACATAAAAACCAAAACTGCTTGGGGTTTTTGATTAGGGTTGCTTGAGGAGTCTTTGACACAATGTTGCATTGAGCGCAAAGATCTGGGGATTGGCCTCAAAATTTTGGGAATGTTTCTTTTTTTTAAATTTAAATTCATGGGTTTTATGTATTTTGTATTAAATCAAATATAATTGATCTGTAATTTATTTTGTATGCTTTTGTGCTTTTATGATTTTTCTTTTTTACTATTTTTGAAAAATGTTGTCTTTCAGATTTCTGATATATTTCCAACCAATCATATCAAATTCCATGTTTTATATATTTTTTTGTTTGTGTATTTTTCTATTTGTTATGTTATTTCTATTTTTTGGATTTTTATAATTTTTATTTTATTTTTCACGTTTTTGGCCTTATTTTTATTGATCCGAGATGACTAGGATGAGTCCCAGTTTAGTCTTCCCAAGCAATCCCAGCTTGAGTAGATACTGACTTGCTGAGTGCCTTGCCCTGACTCTGTTTTAGATTACTGATCAAGATGATGATTGATGAATGAGCATTCCTATTGCATTATGATATATGATGCGTTTTAGCTTACACTAATATGGTCTACGGCATATTCACCTGAAAAATGGATTTGCTGTCCAGCATTTATTGGAATGCGTCATATTTAGAACCAAGCTAGTAAGGCTTTGTGCTCTGTGCTTCTTGTTAGAACTGTAAGATTTTAGTTAGAGGTCAACTTTCCTTGTGAATAACGCAAATAACTAACTGCTCCTTAAAGGTCCGTGCTTCCGTGCGAAATCTGAACAGAAAGGTCTAAGGTCTACTGCTTATGTGGACTGAGACTAACTGCAGTTCCTGTGCTGTGTTCTGGATTTAGTTGATGCAGAAGATTTATGAATTTGTTTCAATTCATTTGGTATACTGCTATTGGTGGTTGCTTTTTCACTTTAGACTGAAACAAAAGTTTCAATGAGGTCTCATCTTTCTTAAGATGCTTGTCTTCCTTTTTCTTTTGTATCTTTACTTTCTTTGTGGCTATCCCGAAGTTGGGTTGTAGGTGGTGGACTCAAACCTACAGCGTTTCATTACTTCTTCTTTTTGTGCAAATTTTGAGTGGTTTGTTTGATAGATATATGGGTTGAGGGGTGGCCACTTAAGAGTAAAAACAATTTTTTTTCTTTTCTTCATCTGCTTTTTGGTTGATACCATACTCTGCCTAACCTAGATGTTTTGTCTGAGTTTCAGCTCTGATGCTTGAGTCTCACTTTAATTCCAATACAAAAAAAAAATAGAAAGTAGACATCACCTTTGTGTAGTTGGAGTTGGTGAGAATCTAATGCTATATTTTGAGAGCAGGTGGAGGATTATTTAATAATTGTTGGCTCAACTAGTTCTGAGAGCGTAAGTTGGTTTGGGCAAGGGGGAAGGTGGAGTTAAAAGGGAGTTGTGAGATCGTGCTAACAATTGATTGCATTATTCTAAATACTTGATCTTATTTCTGTTTTAGCTAGACGCATGTGAACATTTTAGGTAGATACTTGTGGAGTTTGATCTTGTCTATTGAAGTGGAACTAATAAAATATCTATGATTAGCTAATAAAGGTGTGATTGATTATCTCATGCTAATCATGGAAGGGAAAATGTTATTGGATTTGGTCATCTCTTCATAATATAGCCTTGTTGCTGATGCCTCTTTTTCATGCCATGATGAATTTGAAACTTGTATCTACATCAAAACACATAGCTGTGTCCATTAAACATAGGTCTCCAATCTCACGGTGATCTTGCTTGTGAGTTTTGTGGAACGGATAGACTTCGAAGTGAATCTAAATATTGGCGATGTTACCCTAAATTAAATGCATAGGGGAGTTTTATCCACTGATTTATTTTAGAAGAAGAAAGATTGAAAATCAGATAGATTCAGCATTGGCAAAGGTTGGCCAACATTGGAGGTTATGCATACAGAAACTTGTGTGCTAACAAATGGTAGTATACTAGTTAAACATTTACTTTAACAAATGGTAATATAGTACTTAACATTTACTTTTTGGAAAATTTGGAAGTAGTTTGGGAAGCTTCATGAAATGTATCGTTATCGGAAAATGCATGCTGGTTTCATGCATATGTACATAAGCAAATACATGCATATGGTTAGCTATATGTATGTGCATTTGGATGCATTTGTGCAGCGTGTCAATTAGTTTTGCAATTTTAGTAGAACTAAGTCTTGGCAAATTCTTGCATTCATGGCCAATTACAATCAATATGTGGAAGAACTGAAGACGTCTTTGGAAAAATTAGTTCCCGTTGTCTTTTATAATATTGAACAATTGAATTATGAAGAATGAAGGAGCTAGAACTTTTTGTCCTTTCAGTTTTGGATCCCATTTGTTTCATAGATCTATAGAAATGGTTTTGGCTAGTAATTGAAAACTGAAAACATTGACGAGTGTTAAATTTGGACCAGAATGAATTTGGTGCTTGTTTCTTTTTGTTTTTCCTTCTTTTCTTGGATTACTCTTGCAGTTAGTGTCCCTAATATCAATGGGGAGTCTGGACCTGACTTTTATTTAGTTTCAGCACAAGATACGCTTTTATGGCTGGTTTACCTTGTGATCCATTTATGCTGCACTGACACCAACTTATTCTGTAACCTTCCATCTTTGAACTGGACTCCAACTATCTTTTTCTGTACCCTTCCATCTATGAACTTCATCTTATTTAATCATCCTCTTTCTAGATGATCCATAAACTAGCCATGAATTATGGACAACGATAAGTTCACGAATTGGATTTTTTGGAGTCATGAGGCTTTAATTGTCACCCTTGTTCATTGAACGCCAATCTTTGTTTTGACTTGAATTCTTGGACAATGTGCACAGCTGTTTCTCTTATTTGCTGGGTTGATCTCTGAAATGCTTATCGTGCGGTGCCATACTCTTTACAACCAGGTTTCCTTCATTACATAACTCCATTTTAGCAAGATGCAAGCTTTTGGAGAAGATGGTTCAGGGAAGATTCAAACTTTGGCAGGTTGGAACGTGGGACGCAGTTGACACTCAACCAAACCCAAGCTCATCAAAGTCTAGTAGACATGACAAGTTATATTCTACTCTTCAGCGCACCTGCATTAGCAATGATAGATGTAGTCTTTGGCTGGTGAATATTTAATGCAGGGCCTGAAGTGTGGCCTTTCACTGGATTGTGATTAATCTATATCGGCCCTGTCTAGAATGGATGGTGGATGCGCCTGTTGGGTACCATACACCTTACCTGGTTGGATCTCCTTCTTTTCTTGTGATGTTCTTCCCAAGTTCGCTTTCCTTTGAAGTCATGAAGATGTGGATGCTATGGAAGGGGCATCCGTATCTAAGGTTTGGTCTGGAATCTCCACGAGTGACATTATTGCTAAAACTTAGGAGGACCTCACCCTCCAAATGAGGCAGGTTCAAGAAGAGTATAGCTTGGAGACTTCCCCCCTTGGTAAAGTATAATTAAAATTTGATGCTAACAGTTCAGGATTGGCCTGAATCGGAGGCACGCTATCCGAGATTCAGCTGGTTCTCAGATTATGACTTTCTCAGACCTTTTGCAACCATGTTCAGCCAATAAAGACGGGGGATCCCCCTGAGCGGAAATTTTCGGGAGCTCTCTCATTTGGTGGGCTCAGGGTATTCGACTTATCTCGTGGAGATCAGTTCCTATCTTTGATCAGATTAGAGATGTCCTGCAGAATCACTAGGTGCAATTTTCTCACTGCCAATGAAACAGGGGACAATAGTTAATTTTCTTGCCAAAGATAAGGAAAAAGATCGTAAACTTAACCAGGGCTCTAGCTTCAAAATCACAATCGAATAACAAAAAAATCTATCCATAGGAATTTA